GTGAATCATAATACTTGAAATTGTCGAATTTTATTACAAGTTAAGTAGTGTTTAATACAATAGCATTTTAAAATTTACTTAAACAAAAACGACTTTTGTTTAGGACAATGTCAGTGTGTACTCTGTTAACTTAATTTTGTATAATTTCTAGTAAACCTATAATTCACGTTTGAATATAAAATGAGTAGTTTTTTAAACGTTATACTTTTTTTGGTGTGTGTTTTCGGTTCAACTGTGTATTCAGTTGACCGTGGTAATTTTAAGACATGTGAACAAAGCAACTTTTGTAAACGTTGTCGTTCTATGGACAAAAATCAAAAATCCGCCTTTGAATTAGTACCCGATAGTGTTATATTGACGGATAAATACTTTGAAGCCTTGATAACAAATACAAAGTTTGAAGATGTTTTATTAAGAATGCGGCTGGATGGTCTTAAGGATAGTACACTTCGTCTTCGCATCAACAAAGATGGGAATCAAATGTTTAACAGGTTTCAACCAGTGCATGCTCTTGTATCTGAACCAATTACAGAGCCAATGATTATGGCTCGAAATGCTTCAACTGTTGAATTAGAATTAAGTAAAACTATTAAGGTGTATATCACAATAGCTCCATTTAAATTGGATGTTTATGTCAACGAAGAGTTGACCATAGGAGTGAATCATGATAATCTAATGCAATTTGAGCACTATCAACTTAAACCAGAATCAATTGCAGACAATGAAATTGGATCGTGGGAAGAATACTTTAAAGAACATCAAGATTCTAAACCCCGTGGACCTTCTGCAGTTTCAATGGACTTCAAATTATATTCGTCTACTTCTTTGTATGGACTGCCAGAACATGCTGATAGCTTAGCTTTGAAAGGTACCAGTGGTAATGACCCATATCGATTTTATAATTTGGATGTTTTTGAATATGAATTGTATAATGGAATGGCATTGTATGGAGCCGTTCCATTTTTAATGGGACATGGAAAAAAGAACAGTGTTGGGGTGTTTTGGTTAAATGCTGCTGAAACATGGGTAGACATTGCAGGTGTAAAAGGAAATACTGAACACACATCAGTTGTGGAGTCAATAGTAAATTTAGTTTCAGGATCGTCAACTGATAAAGACGTACCTAGAGCTCATTTTATGTCTGAATGTGGTATTATTGATTTTTTTATCATGTTGGGTCCTAAACCTCTAGATGTAACCAGACAATATTCTTCACTGACAGGAACAACTCCATTACCTCCATTATTTTCTTTAGCTTACCATCAGTGTCGATGGAATTACAATGATCAAAAAGATGTTCATGATGTAGAAACAAATTTTGATGTCCATGACATACCTATGGATGTCATGTGGTTAGATATTGAATACACGGATGGTAAAAGATATTTTACCTGGGATCCAGTTAAATTTTCTGAACCTTTAGAAATGGTGAATAATTTAACTAGCAAAGGAAGAAAGTTGGTGACTATTATTGATCCACACATCAAACGTGATCCCAACTACTTTCTACATAATGATGCACTCAATAATGATTTATATGTGAAGAATAAGGATGGTGAAGTATACGAAGGTTGGTGCTGGCCAGGGTCTTCTAGTTATTTGGATTTCATGAATCCTAAAGTACAAGATTATTATGCTTCTCGTTATTCTATTGATAATTTTATTGGTCCTACTGAAGACGTTTTTATATGGAATGATATGAATGAGCCTTCTGTTTTCAATGGACCAGAAGTGACAATGCCAAAGGATTGTATTCATCATGGAGGTTATGAACACAGAGACATACATAATATTTATGGACTGTTGCAGGTCATGAGCACTTATGATGGTCTACTGAAGCGATCAAATGGTAAAAAACGACCATTCATTTTGACCAGATCTCATTTTGCTGGTACTCAACGTTTTGCTGCAGTGTGGACTGGTGATAATATGGCTGATTGGAGTCATTTAAAAATATCTTTACCAATGTGTCTCTCATTAGCAATTTCAGGCATATCGTTTTGTGGTGCGGATGTGGGTGGATTCTTTAATAACCCCGATAAAGAATTATTGATCCGCTGGTATCAAACTGGTGCATTTTTGCCATTTTTCAGAGGTCATGCTCACATAGATACAAAACGTCGAGAACCGTGGTTGTTTGATGAACAGACTACATTTTTGATCCGTGATACCGTCAGAATGAGGTATACATTGTTACCGTTATGGTACTCATTGTTTAAGAATCATGAATTAACCGGAGCCCCTGTTATACGACCATTATTTTTTGAGTTCCCTCATGAAGAACAACTGAACTACATCGATAATGAATTTATGGTTGGTGATGTTTTGTTGGTGTGTCCTGTATTGGATCAAAATGTACAAGAGTTGACTTGTTATTTCCCTGGTCAAGAAGAAATTTGGTATGATCAAGATACTTACCATCCTATCAAAACTAATGGGCTGATGAAAATACCAGCGCCAATCAACAAGGTGCCTGTGTATCAACGCGGTGGTACAATAGTTCCTACTAAGCAACGTGTTCGCCGATCATCTGTCTTAATGAAGGACGACCCGTATACTTTAATTGTTGCAATTAACTTGAAAGCTATAGCTAAGGGATCATTGTATATTGATGACGAGGAAAGTTTTGAATATCGAAATGGACATTTTATCTACATTGAATATGAATACATCAATAACCAGTTGATCTCAAAATGTTTACACTGTGAAGATTTCAATACTAAATCATGGATTGAAAAAGTCATGATTGTTGGTATTCCTAATGTATTCACCAAAGCCAGTATACAGGTCAATGGTGGTAGTTTATCAGAATTAACTGTTTTATACAATACTCACAATCAAGTATTGACAGTGCGGAAGCCTGCTGTCGGAATAGCTCAAAACTGGACGATTTCTTTACTTTAATAATACATTTAAATATGTGATGGAATATTGTAACTAAAAAAATTGTATTTGAATCAATATTAATTAATTATTATTAAGTATTTATTTTGTAGTGAACAATAGCAAAGTTTCACATTTTAGATATTTTTTTTTTTTAATAATAATATACTTATTAGAATTATAAGTTACATTTATGGCTGTTTATGTATGAACATGAAATTGACCAATCCGTTTATCTACTAATTATTTATAATTATTAAATGAGTGTCAGTTAGTAGTATTTTGTTTATTTTTTTAAGGTTTAATTTTACACAAGTCTGTTATATGTCCCATGTCAACTAGTGCAGAAAATACATTTTTTTATTAATAACCTACAAAATCATGTCTATCTCTGCATTTCATTATTTTCTTGCATCTAAAATGATATTGTAATTCATTTTGTCATACATCAAACTAATTATTTTTGTTTATTTTGTAATGCAATTAATATTATATTTGTCGATTTATTTAATTTTTGATTATTTAGTTTTAACGAATAAATAGAGGTAAATTCAGTTCTACATCAATGAGCATATAAATTCCCAATAAAAATATTGTTATCCAGGCATGTTGCAGCAAATAAAATTTTGGGCCTCAAAGTAACAACACATTAAATGTGCTTAAATTGAAACAGTAATATATACATATTGTTAAGTAAAAGTAGTGCGACAGTGTCAATTTAGCAGACACCAGACATGCACTACCTAAGTCAAATTATATATTTGTATTGGATGACAAGAATTTGTGCATTAGGTAAACATAAAGATAGGGCGAATTGTTTCAAACACAGACAATACAGTGCGAGTGTTTAGTGATTATTTCCCATGAATTTCTTTAAGACAAAGTTCATATATTAAACACAAAATATACTTACTACAAAAAATGTTGTAACTGAATAAATTTATTACAAATCTTTTAACAATTTTTACTTAAGTAATCAAGTTCATTAAGTGCTATTACGTTGCATCAAATTCATAAAATCAGAAATTGTAGTTAAACACATAAATGTATTATACTGTATGATATATTATTAAATATAATAAATTATATAATTGTTAACTTAAATATCAATAATATCATTAGGCCAATATCAACAAAGGTACTGTAGAATGGCAATTTGAATAGCTTCAAATCATCTAAATATTTTTAAAACAATAACGATCTTAAGTTCTTATTATGGTCATAGAAGATTTATTATTCTATAGTTTAATAATATTTGATTATAGCGTACACATCTCCAAAAGACCAATTATTCATATAATGAAAACAATAATTCTTCATAAAATATTTTGAGTTTATACTAAATGCTTATACAATATATTAATATATGCACTAACAATAATTAATAAAATTACTTGAAAATACACTAAAAATGTAAAATAAAATTTTCACCTTTGAAGTATTTATTACATGAAATGAATATGTACTTGAAATGCACTGTCCTATAATACGCAAAAAATAATTAACTTTATATCTAAATCAGGGAATTATTAACCATCAGTCAATGGGTATGGCCAGCTAATAATTTTTTATTTATTTAGTTATTTTGAATTAGTGACTACTATCTATAGAACTGCAGTATCATCAAATAATGCATTTCTTAATTCAAGCATTTGACAAAAAAAATATCCAATTCATGAAACAGTAATCATTTTTTTCAGTTTAATAAATTTTGTCATTAAATAATTGTTGATTTTATATAACGTTAGCGTTATTGATTTCATGAATTTAGCGTTACATGTAATAAAAATTGATTCAATTTTTAAGTAAATTATTTTTATATATTATATACAAAACCAATATTCTCTAAATAATTTTAACACATAAATAAATTGCACATACATAAAAAATTAAAACATTTTATTTATATTTTTGAAATTAATTTATCATTTCTAAAAGTTGTATTTGATGTAGAAAGGAATATATTAATACTTTAATAATAAATATTGTTTTCTATTTCTAAGGTTGTTAATTATAATTTGAAATATTATTAAAAACCAAACCAAATGAAAAAGAAATATAGTAGTTGATTATTTTTATACAAGAAGAATGAATGTTCTTTTAACTATAATATTCAATTGCTATACATTAAAAATTATTTATTTTTAAATTAATTATGAAGATGTTTAATTAAATAAAATCACTAGATAAAAACACTCATTCAAGCCAAGTATAGTCTTAGTTCTTACTCCTAGAACATGATATACTTCATAAAAACTCAGTGTTTCATGTTCAAACCTCAAAATCAATATGATAAAATATTAATTATAACAAAGCAAAATTAATTTGCTTGTACAATTATACAGTTCAATATTTTGCGCATAGTTTTAACAATTCAAGAAATGCCACTCACAAAATACTGAAATATTTCATCCATTGTTGGTAAAAATAGTTTATGTAGTATAAGAATACTACAAACAATATTTAAACAATCAATTGTAATAATATTATTGCCATAAGCCTGCATAATTGCCACATAAATTAGCTGGTAACGGTCCACCCGCAGAAAATAATCTTGTTCCTGAATAATCATAGCAATGTGTATAAATTGCTGGTGTATATTTGACTTGTTGAAACCCTTGATCCACCATAAAATCTTCATCAGGATACTGATAAAAATGTTATAAATTACCAAATTATAAATAAATTATAAATAATAATACTTACAACATAACCTCGGCTTGTTTTTAAAACAACTGCTCTACTGGAGTTAATACTGGATTCTAAGTATTTTCCTGCTCGTATATCATAAAACATTATAACACCAACGCCTGTTCCAATTGTAATTACATTATCTTGGAAACTTAAAGACCTAATTCCTGCAACACAACAAATAAATAATTAAATTAGGAAATACTTATATAAATTATACTCGTTTCTAAAACATTTCTAATAAATTCAGTTTAAGTTTTATTATCAAAACGTCATATTTTTTTCATTTTGTTAGGTGGTACTACTGAGTGAACCCTGCCATTCACAGCTATTTAATTTAATATAAAAATTAATTATTGTACAAACAAGTGTATAGATATTAATTATTAAAATTTTTAATAAAAATAAAAATCTTTTCTATTTTAAAAATTAACTTGAAAAAATATATTGTAAGGAAAAAAAAAATTAATATTAGATAAGAAAGTATTAAAATATACAAACCACATCCACTGTATCTAGCAGGGATTTTCTTTATAGTATGTAAAGTTCTTGAATCAAGTAATAGTGTATATGAACGACATCCAACAGCGTATAAACTACTATCATTTTTCATAGCCATGCAGACATTGTCCTGACATGATGATAATCTTCTTGAAAATCTCTGTTATGCAAAATAAGATAAAAATATGTAAAAATATAAAATTGTATAAATGTATTCTTGAACATTTTATTTTTTGATCTTAAATGTAAGTTTATTTTTAATGACAATATTTATAGTTAGAATATTTTTCTATCTATTAAATTAAATAATCAATATTTTTTTAGAATATATTTCAATAGATTGATTATGAAGTTTTAAAAAAAAATAAAATTTCAATTACTTGTCTAAAACGTTCAACATCCCAAACATGAACATATCCATTTAATGACAATGTAACCATTTCTTTTAAATTCTTATTAAATGTGATCGCTCGAACTTTTTGAGCTGTTTTGCAGCTTCTTATAACTGCAGGGTTGAGAAATTGAGTAACTGGTTGTATAAGGTCACCATCAGAATCATACTTTTCTTGATATTTATCTTGAACTTGCCATAAAGCAAGTTTGGTATCACGTGATCCACTGACAAAAAACTCATCATCCAACCATTCAATGTCGAATATCCAATCTTTGTGAGCACCCTAATTAAGTAATAATGTAAATAATAGTCATATATAACTTTTTTAATTTTGTTTACCTCAGCTAAAACAATTGGATCTAATGTTGGCAATCTATACACAGCAATTTCATTAGAATTATATGCTCCTGTTGCCAATAATGTTTTGGATGGATTAATTTTCAATGAATGAATACCACTTTGTTGATCAACTGCTTCGTCTATACGTCCCTTTATGGATGGTATTTGATCCAGTTCATGTGATTTTACGTTATAAACCATTAACTAATAAAAATAATAAAATAAAAGTATATTAAATAGGATTAATTAATTGATAGTTAATAAATAATTAAGATACAAATTATTTTTTGAGTATAATTTAAGAATAGTCAATAAATTAAAATATTATTTATTTAAATATCTACTTTTTTTATTATTTAATACAAAAAATATAAGTACTTATTTACAAATTTTATCAATTATGATCAAATTATAAAATTAATTGTTTAAGGTACTGACTTGTTATTCCCCAACCTGTGCAAGTTAACATAATATCTCTCATAATACTCTGCCTAGTTATTATTCTACCACCCATAATAATTACAAATAGTATACCTATAAGCAGGATACAAGTGTGTTTTAAAAAGTGGTTTTGTTTAAACCATTTTATACATAAATGTTTTAAAAATAATAATTAAAATAATTGCATAGTAATTTTGTAACATTTTGTTTGTAGATTACAGTATATACAAAAATGGAGTAGATAATAAACAAATGATGCTACATTATAATTAAAACAAAGCAATATTATAAATTAAATTAATTTTATTTTATAAATTGTTTAAAATATTACAAAAAACTAATTTTGTTTTAGTCCTGCCTATAAATAATAATTATTAATAGATATTATTACTATTGCATATAATATATCAATTATATTTGTGGCAAGGATTCACAAGCATGGGCGTGGCAATAATATACCAGTACCTTTTATAATTTTAATTTTTAAATGTTCATTTTAATAAAATAAAGAAAAAAAACTTGATATTTCATCAATAAAAATCTATTATGTAATTTTTGCAATTATTTTTTTTAAATTAATATTGGACTGATAAGTATCAACATAAAATAGATAACTTAAAAGTAATTATTAATATTAAAATTAAAATTATATTTATTAGTAGTTGTAATAATATAATTTTTAAAAGGCTAAAATTAAAATAATTTCTATTGAAATATATTAGAAATTTTAAAGTGTGCTTACTTTATTACATTTTGTACCAAAGACAATTTGTTTACTGCTAAGCCATTGTGAACAAAAAACTTTATTCATTGTTTTTAAAGGTATAGACCGTTCTTTGAATAAGTCATGAGTGAGAATATGCCTTGTACCATGATTTTGATTAACTGAACGATACTCTCGCATTCCATACTCTCGATTTCTTATATAATCAACAAAATTATATGAAGAGTTTAGCATAGTACATAATGACATAGTACTCTCTTCTTCTTCGTCTGAGTCTTCATAGCAAACAAAATCTTCTGGTTTATCTGATTTTCTGTTTCGTTCCATTCTAGTCATACGTATTTGTAAACTACGTTCATCAAGTCGGGATTGGTATGCACAAGGTGGCCGTGAACCAAAGACTGGCACGCGCCTTGTTTGTGCCATTCTAAAACAAAAATAATACCGAATATCGCATTATAAATTTTGTACTTGAAAAATGAATCTAAATAATATGCATAACATAAATAGTATTTACCTTATGCCCGGGGTATGCTAGTTAAGATATTGACGCGTCCAAAGTCATTCAGAACAGGGAATGTTGTAAACAACATGTGAAATTATGTACAAAATATACATATTAAATAGAAATTATATTACAAATAATGTATTAACAAAATTAATGTTTTTTAAAGAATAAAATTACAAATAATAAAATAAATATTTTTTAAATAATGAAAACAAAAAGATAAAATATTACTATGATGATAAGTAGGTCACAGTTAGTCCAACATTGCACAACATTTTTTTATCGTCACTTTACTGCAACTGGAAATCAGTTTTAAAGATAAACATTAAGCACATCATAAAAAAAAAATATTTCCTACTTCCTAGTTCCTAGAACTCTCTCTAGAGATAGCAAATTAGAAATTATAATTAACTACTTTGTACTTACAGGCTAGTGGCTACAGATTATAAAAACCAGAAAGTTTATAACTTTATAAGTATATATATATATATATATATATATATTATAAAACCAGAAAGTTTTCAACTTCATAAGTATTTTTTAGATATATATATATATAATATAATAAAGCTTATATTATACAATTATTCAACAATCGGAATATCGAATAACTCGGCGAATATGCATAGATATTACAAATTTTAGTACAAATATTTCATCATATAGATAGTTACTAAATTATACAGGATCTATTACCTGATGTCCTGATTTTTGATTTGGTAAACAATTCACTAGAATCCAACGAGAATTCCATACGTGATAGTCGTAGTCCTTAATTTCCAACTGTAATTACTAAATTGTACTCCTTGTATACAAATCAATTATACCTAGTTTATAGGTTCACGGTTAACTTTTTATTATTTTTAAAACGTATGAATAATTAATGTATCATGATATTATTTTGGTACCTACTAATGGTATACTTTATACCTTGAAATTTTAATTATAGCTGTCTTTGCCAAATGTCAATACAGAAGCCAACTCAATATTTTCACCATTTTCAATCATACAAATATACAATCGACATTTTGAATATACATTCAATACTGTTTTAAAGAAGAGTATTTAAATTAAATGTATTTAATTAAATTTATCATTTATAATTTTTATTTTGTAGTTTTCATGTCTTTTTATTGCAATTATATTATTTTATTGTGCTATAACTTATATTTCATTGCCATTTCGACTTATTTTAATACTATTAAATCCTGTCTAAGCTATAATCAAGACTCGAATTTAGATATAATACATATATTTATTGTAACACAATATATTGATTTTGGCAAGTGAATTATTCGTTTCACAAGGTTTTTGACAAAATTACTTACATTTTATCATAAACTCATGATTTTATAAATTTCACAATCATTCCATTTTTCTCACATATTTATACAATTTTGACAATTTAACACGTTGAGTGCGTCTCTAATGTATAGAGTGTAACAATTAAACTAAAATACAATTTGAAATTTTTCCACTGAAATTGCTTAAATAGTTTTTTTCGTTAATATTTTCTTATAATTAACTTTTTTCGTAAAATATGATTTTTATGCTCATTACTCGCTAAGTATTTTAAATTTTATGCTATTTTATTTTCAGCTAAAATATTGTTTAGACAACATATTTTCGGACATGCATACACTGATAAGTAATGACTCAATTGAATATTGCAATTTAGTTCAATCTTCAGGACACGCACTCGATTACTCGAATGTTACCAACGTTTATAAAATACACATTATCCATTATATTTTGATGTTTTCGCTTCATTAAAAGGCAGGTCCAAAGTCTACACTCCACGCTTACAAATTAAGCTAAACATTTACTCTTAATTCTTATTTAGTTGATTAATAATTATCTTAAATTACAGTTTTGAAATCGTGTTATGTCCTGAAATTTTCCTTTGTTCTGATTGGTTCAATTATATATGGTAAGGTATGGTTTAATGTAGGTTTTTACCATACTTTTAGATGTTATAGTGGCGCTAAATTACAAAATTAAATATATAGCATGGCTCACCGACGACCGCACATCAACTCTTTATTGAAATCTATCTTAAAAAATGTATCAACCACCATAATTTTTTATTGTATTTTTAGATGCTTATCAACGTTAAAATTTTACCCATATTATAATATGATTTATAATTAACACGTCCTATCATAATAATATTAGTAAGTATTTAATATACTTTAATAAATTAAAAAATTAGTTTACACTAACACTACTTTTAGCTGCAAATAATAAAATACAATTTTCAGTAATAATATTATCAATAAATATATTTAAAATTGTTTTGCAATTGATCTAAGTCGCTTAAATTTGCAATTATCTTATAGTAGAAAATTCATAAGTTTTTAACTTAATTATCTTAAGTTTGAAAATCTGATACAAAATTGTTCATAAGTTTATTTAATAGAAATAAAAAAAGTTTAATGATAAGTTATAATAATTTATTATAAAAATATTTTGAATTTCAAATATTGAAAAAACTAGATAATATAATAAAGAAAAGCGATTTTAGTTATTTGGTTGTATAATTCAATATATCGTATAAGTTACCTACACTTATTACTAATACATTATGTAAGTTAAGTATAATAGCTATATAATTATATAATAATATAATAAAATAATTATAGTAATAAAGTTATTACTTTTCTATTTAAATCATCACATTAATGGGCAGCCTATTAGTATTATGGCCTGGGAGGTTACATCATTATACAATGACTTTAGACTTACTTGATGACGAGGTACAATGAACACTTACTGTACAGTAGAACGCTTTCCTACATGTCAACAGCCAAATTACCCATATAAATATATTTTATATGTGGGGTAATTGTCTGGACCTCCATAAAAAAGTTTTTATTTTGTGATAGAACGAATTCAATATACCTATTTGAAAAATTATTCTTTTGGTACCATGCACTGATATATTATATTATAATACGCCTGAATGCCTGATTGTTAATTTTGATAAGAATCAAATAATTGATGGCTGATGCAAGCTAATGGACTTTTATTTTATTTAATTTCAAACCTGTAGCCTTGTCGTTTTATGATTATACAACAATTTTTGTTTAGTTGTAGAAGTTAATACAATACTATAATTAGTCTCCAAGTACTCTTGCAATTCTAGAAATTATTCAAAAACTATGGCAGATACTGTGGGAAAGGTAAAAAACTGAGAATAATATTTTTTTTGTAATATATAAAATATTAATAAGTTATAATTTAATTTTTAAGGTTATTAAATGTAAGGCAGCCGTTGCTTGGGAAGCAAAAAAGCCTTTAGTACTTGAAGATATTGAAGTAGCGCCACCAAAGGAAAATGAGGTTAGAATAAAAATTCTTGCCACAGCTATATGTCATACTGACGCATATACCATGGATGGTAATGATCCAGAAGGAAATTTTCCTTGCATTTTGGGTCATGAAGGAGCAGGAATTGTTGAAAGTGTTGGTCCTAATGTTGAAGAATTCCAACCAGGTTAATAAATGTAGTATAAAACATTTTTTCACTAATGTTAATTTGCTAAAATTAACTAAAATAATATTTTAGGGGATCATGTTATTCCTTTATACATTCCACAGTGTAAAAATTGTAAATTTTGTTTGTCTCCAAAAACAAACGTTTGTAGTAAAATTAGACTTACTCAAGGTCAAGGTAAAATGCCTGATAATACTTCTCGTTTTACTTGCAAGGGACAATCCCTGTACCATTTTATGGGATGTTCAACTTTTAGTGAATATACTGTTGTAGCAGATATTTCATTATGCAAGGTAATATATTATTTTTATATTGTGATTGATATTATTTATTTAGATTAAGTATTATTCATACAAAATAATGATAATTAAATAAATAACTTAAAAAACTATGTTTTTAGTTGTAAGTATAAATTATTTTATACTTATAAAAAGATCAATTTGTTTACTTACTATTAAAATAATTTTAGTTATCAATTACTATTAAAATACTTTTAGTTATCAATTACTATTATTATTTATTTTAATTATATTATTTAGGTAGATTCCGCTGCATCTTTTGATAAAATTTGTCTTTTGGGATGTGGTGTTTCAACTGGATTTGGAGCAGCTCTTAACACTGCAAAAGTTGAACCAGATTCAACATGTGCCATTTTTGGCTTAGGAGCTGTTGGTTTGGCAGTTATTATGGGTTGTAAAGCCGCTGGTGCAAAGAAAATCATTGGCGTGGATATAAATGAGAGCAAATTTGAATTAGGTTCTCATCATATTCTTATCTATTATTAAAATCAATGTTTCTCAACCTTAAGTATGTAAGAAGGTATGAGGGATATATGAAAAAAAAGTAATAGTGAAAAAAGTTAAATTTTATATATTTTAAAACTATTGCTTTCTGGGCTGACTTGGAAGAATATCCTGAGCTTATACACAAAGCATTTAATGTTAAAAATCACTATATTGGTGAAAAGAATTTTTCATCAAATACATTCATCAACAATAATAATTGTAATAAAATACTTTCTGTGAATTTAGACTTACAAATTTACTCATCATCTGTAAATTCAGATCTCAAAAACTTAAGTGTTAATAAATAGCCAATTGTGAAAGGTTAAAAGAGGCTCATGAATGATAAACGGTTGAGAAATGTTTTAGATGAAGTCACAGAATATCATTAATATCCTTGTTATAATTTGCCTAACTTTTTAGCTAAATTATTTGGTGCTACCGATTTTGTAAACCCATTGAAGTATGAAAAACCTATACAAGATGTTCTTATTGAGATGACTGATGGTGGACTTGACTATACATTTGAATGTATCGGAAATGTCAAGACAATGGTAATTAAAATACAAAGATACATTAGATTTTTTTTAAAAAAAAGTATTTTTATTAACTTTTATAGAGAGCTGCATTAGAAGCTTGTCATAAAGGTTGGGGTGTATCCGTGATTATTGGCGTGGCTGCTGCCGGTCAAGAAATTTCTACAAGACCTTTTCAACTTGTTACTGGACGTACATGGAAAGGAACTGCATTTGGAGGTATTTAATAAGTTTACTTACTCATCCAGATAATTATATAAATCAGTATAATATTATGTCTACTAAAAATATTGAAAATTATTGTTTCAAGGATGGAAAAGTAAAGAGAGTATTCCTGAATTAGTTTTAAAATACTTGGATAATAATCTCATGTTAGACGAGTTCATAAGTCATAAACTTCCATTTGAATCTATTAATGAAGGATTTGAATTACTGCATTCAGGAAAAAGGTAATTATTTTTTAAAGACAAATAATATTAATCGATGTTCTATAAACATAATATTTTTTTTTTCAGTATTCGTACAGTCCTTGAGTTTTAGTATAGATTTACTACAAAATAAAGTAAAATAAAATATTAAAAAATTTGTATTTAAATATTTTAAATAAACATTATTATAATAAAATAAATAGTTAATTATTTTTACAAATAATTATAAATCATCACTTTAAAAAAAAAAAAATCAAGGAACAAAAAATATTCTTATTATATAGTGCTACAAGTCAAAACTACATATTTAACATTACACTATCAACATAGTAACTTATCTATTAAACTTGTTAATTATGAAAACTTAAAATTTATGATAATATCTATCATTGGTTTTATAAATAAGTACATTAGACATTTGTTACAGGATATCAATTATTATTAGAATTAATTATTCAAATAGTATTCTTGATAATATATTATTTTACGTTTATCTATGCTTCTAAGTTACTAAGAATTCATTATAGATCATTTTTTATACTATATAGGATTTTTTTTTATTATTTTGTAGTTATACATAAAAAAGTTATACCAAGTTTCAAATAGATTAATGTAATGACAAATCGGTAAAACTTTAAATAAGAATTGCTTTAATGTATAGTATATTATTTTCTACATGCCTACTACTAAGCAATACATCAGAATTTATTTTTTTTAATAGAATATTTTTTCAATGTTTTAAACTGCCAACATATTATTTCATAAACATTAGCTAATAAATGTCCAGCTATTAATCCAATTGAACATGGAATTGGCCATCGCTGCCATTCAGTTTCCCAGTCAAATGGTATTACTGCTGCACCAATAAACCCTCCTAAAATTGTTGCTCGGAAATTGTTTTTTTCAAATATTTCTACTGTACTATTAAATTCAGTTTCAAAGCTATCAGTTAAAAGTAATGGCAATATATTTGATCCTAACTGAATTGCAGTCGGCGTAATAATAAGCGCTGTTGTGAGTAAAGAAAATACAAAAGTTTGTTCTTGTTTAGAAGTCAATGGTGCACCAAAAAGAATTGAAAATAAATACGATACACCCACTGCTAATATAGTGGAAACTAAAAACTGAAATATCCAGAATATTGGATTGGATTTCGGCTTAATTTGATTTGTAATTCTACTGACTAGATAAGAATGGCAAGCAAACTTAACAAATTCTATTATGTAACATGTAACAATAATGATCATTGAGTTGCGATCAATTAATAAGTTATAGTTTTTATCCAACAAGAGCCATACAAACAGGCCCAAATAGCAAAATGCGCTGATGCAGTGTGGTATGAGTTCTGGATCCTTGTTTGCTTCTGTTTGAATGAAAGCACTTGGCGCTTTATATTCAGATGGATTCGAAGTATTGATCAATACATTGGATGATTCCATTTTTTTTATAACGTTTCGAACGTTTTTCTTAGTCATTGTTCAATAAGTAGACTGATTATAATTGATTTAGTACTCACAGACCACAGTTGTGTATCACGTCTTAGTAAAACAGATGAAGACACATTTGCTCATGTTCAAAAGTCTATCGACATTTTATTGACGTCGAAACAATATTATTTTTTGTTCTGTGATGTTTTAATTTTTAATCCGCTAAACGGAACACAATATATTTATCTAGACTCTTAAACTCATAAAGTTACAAATTTACAATTTCAGTTTAGAGCACACTGGTATAGATTAGACAACTTCTCGTGCCGGACAGCCGAAGCGCTAGAAGCCCTTAGCCGTCTATATGATAAAAAATAGTTTATATCAGTATATAATATTGTGGAAGAAAAATATTTCGACTTGGAATAAGTAACAAATCACAATATTTCGGGCCGCCGAATTTAATTATTATAATTTATTTAAATATGTTTTTTTCGTTTAATGATATATTACTCATTGATAGATTAATTTATGTCACTTGACACTTACGAGTACAATGAAAAAAAGACCTAACCTTTGCAGCAGGGGCTCTTATATGGTCTTGAATTTTCATAATATGTAGGCCTTTGTGAGGTTAACGTTTCGTATATAATCGTATGATTATGATGCGTTCATTATAATTCTATTAGCTAGTGTATTATTTTGAAAAATTTAAAATTATTTTATATGTGTAGGCGTGTAGCTGTGCTGTTCGGTACTCCAAATAGGATTAGCGTAAGTTAATAGTGAGCGTAGTAGTTGCTTGTATATTAATATTGAACATTTATTATGTACCTATAGCTGATTTTTTTTTTATTAAGAATTGGAAATAACAATGAGAGACGTTGGTATATCTGTTGAAGATTTATGGATGTGTGGCCATCAGGTTAGTCTCTCGTCTAGCTTATATCTAACACCGAGATACTTGATGGACGACTGCCAGGACATAGATTCGCCATCGAGTTTTATCGGTAGTGGAGTGGAATAGCTATGTAGGATAAATATACCTGCTGAACTTTTTGAAGCATTAATTTGTATTTTTCAGTTTTTACACCGCTTGAAAAGTAGGAATATTCAGGTGATCTTGTAGGTCGTTTGTTATTGCTTCGGGTTCGGTATAAATTGTTGTGTTGTCTGCGAAAGAAGCAATGTTGGTACATGATGACTGTGGTGTGTCAGATATGAAAATATTGAGTAAAATAGATTCTCAATTTGGAGCATTGAGGTAGGTACATTACTACATTAGCAGAGGTAGGCTGTAGCCTGTAGGTCAGAAAAAGTGTCATTCATTTCAATTGATAATTGTCTGTTAGATTAAAAGGAGTTATTAATATTAACTAAGTATTTTGGTGTATTAAAAAATTTTAATTTGTATAAGAGACTTTCGCGTGTCTTACTTTGTCGAACGCTTCAGAGACGTCAATAAATACAGCACTGGCATGGTAGTGTTTTTCAAATGAAGTACTGATATGCTTCGTTATACGAAAAAGTTTTTGTACTGTCGAGTGGTTGGATCTAAATCCAAACTTCAAATATTTTTACAAAAAGAGTGCATTATTTTTAGATTTTTTTTGATTCCAGTATGGCAGTATCAGTATCTAATCAGTATCGAATACTTACCTATAAGCAGACTTATATTAATTTTTCAAGTTTTAGTTATAAATAAAATTAATTAAACGATTTATACATTTTAAACTTCAAGTTTTTTCTGGTTTTTTCAAGATTTTTTATTTTTTTTATTTTCAAAAACAATCTGTACAAACAAGCACATTAAGTAATTTAGATATAGAATATATACATATTTTTTTTTTTTTTTTTACAACAACTTTTAAGGAAGTCATCCATTGGTAACACCTATGAACTTATAGTTGGGTTTGGATCACGATTCCAATTACATTTGAGCCTGCGAGGGGGGTTACCTGGGATATGCCGTGAAGCCATATCTTTAATGAGAGGATTAGTACTGGAGTTGAGTTTAGAGTAGAAACGGTGGTAGTGAATTTTGGCGTAGTCAGTGACATTGGTTACTTTGAGGTCGTTGTGGAGTGAAAGGTTTGTCATGTACCATGGAGCACCAGTTATAGAACGTAGGGCAATGTTTTGGAAGGATTGGATAGGGCGAATTTTTGAGGGTTTAGCTATCCCCCATATTTGAATACCATACGACCAGACAGGTCTGATCATTGTATTATATAATAACATTTTGGTTTTTAGATTAAGTTTAGATTTAAGAAGAGGTCGGAAGAGATGGAGTCTACTGTTGGCAAGTTTCCTTTTGTTTAGGAGATGGGGTTTCCAAGTTAAACGCTTATCTAAAATTATACCTAGATACTTTGTCTCGTTAGAGATAGGTATACTTTTATCTTTAAGTTTGATGGTAGGGCAAATGCTAGGGCGTAGCGCGAAAGTGACTTGGGAAGATTTGTTCTCGTTTATACTAATCATCCAGTTAATGGCCCAGTTATCTATAAGATTTAAATGTTCTTGAAGGTGTTGTGCAGCTATAGTAATGTTATTCAAGATTTGAATTTTGAATGTTTAAAAATAATTCATGCCTATGTATTTTTAAATATTTAGGTATAATATAAACCTAGTTTTCAAGCTTTTTGAACAAGCAAAATATTGTTTATTGACATTTAAAGAAAAAAAATCAAATATCTTAAATGTCTATAAACAGCTCAAAAATTCAAAATATTTTGAAAATTATTCAGTAATAGAAAACGGTAATTTAAATATTTGACGGAATTCGTTAAAATTTTAATTTCAAACACTCAAAAAACATTTTGTGAATTTTATTCAACTTTTTATTTTTTGTTCTTTAATTAAAATTGATGGAGAATTTTTCAAACTTTTTGACCAAGTGAAACATTTTTTGTGAAAGCATCCGTTATTAGTATAAAACTTGACACAGCAACCTTCAAGCGCTACTTGTCGATTTAAAACAAGGTTTATAGATAAAAAAACTGATGATTGATAAGTTTTTGTATATAAACTATCAAGTATAATAAATAAACAATAATATTATCTTAATTCACTGTGTAAGATACCAAAGTCTATGATCATGACAGAAATTACGGTTAATAAGAATATAATAATGTACAATATAGGATTCGTTCAGAACTTAGAAATTAGTCTCAAGTCAATACTTACTATTTTACTATATGGTTACCAGTAATCAAAATCAACTGCGTTTTTTAATGGTAAAATGAAAAGAACACATTGTGACGAAGATAATGACCGAGAATCCGACGATTCTTTGTTGGATTTGAATTTCCAGTCTGATGAATGTGAAAACGAATCGTTAAAGAAATTTAAAACCGTGGTCAAAACTACTGTTATGGCCGATGATGAAAGTTTATTTCAAAGCCAAGAAATAACTGAATCATGTGACAATGTTATTACAGAACATTTTGTGACTGACCATAGTGATGTATCTGAATCTCACATCAAAGATGGTAGGCCAATCATTTTATTTTTACTAAATAATAATAGTAGATAACTGTAATAGGATTGAATTTGTTGCAGTTTGTTAAATTTATGTCTAGTTTTAAATGACTTGTTGCATTTTAGCTGTACCAAATGATACAAGCAAAACATCTGAAACACAGGAAAAAGAAACTATCAATATGGACATACAAAGCGAAAAGAAGGGAGAAATGTTGTTGGAAGCCATAAGTAGTGATGATGATATTGCATTGGATAGTGAAGAAGATGGTGCTTTGGTATTATTTTCAATTATAAATGTATAAATAATTGTGCCATTGTCACTCTACCTAATTTGTTTTGTACTTTAGGATAGTGAAAATGGTGAACATTTTAATGAATACACTGATGATATAGTAACACATTTTGATCCATCCTTGTTCCAAGCCACTCCATTGAGAGTAAGTAAAATATTTGTTTTTATATTAAATATTAATATAGTATAGTATAAACTATACATTTTAATTACTGTTTGATACAACTTTGAAATATTTTTTGTTTTTTTTTTTTATAGATTATCCAAGATCCATCTTTATCATTATTTGAATATGTACATAGAAAACTAGGCGATGATTCTAAATGTAATGAAGTAGCTGAACTCATGGATTCTTTGGAATATTTATCAAAAACTATGGATTTAAATGAAAAATGGATTATTACTGCAGAACGAACTGTTACCATTTTGCCCAAAACTTTAAGTCACATTCTAAATATTCCAGGTATAAAATAATGTTATAACCTTACATGAAATATTTATGAGTTAATTTGTTCTTAATTATAAAATATATATTTTTTTCAGAGTATTGTCATAAGTTATTCTCTTTAGTAAATGTAACACTCGATTTCGAGTGTGCTTTAAAGGAGTATGTTTCGATGTCGACATTAATTCTTCGTCATTTGAAGGTTGGCATTCAACTGATCGAAATACTTTGCCATTACAATGAAGATTTATCTGAACATCTAATTAAACATCATCAAATTCACAATAAATTAATTAATTTATTTTTTGTCGAACATATGTGTTTGTCTCTTAAATTAAATATATTACGTGCATTAGATTCTAGTCTTAATGGCTTAGAACCTATTCGTCTCTTTTTATGTGATGAAGTTTTTGATGGACTTAACGGAAATCAAACCTTACTTAAAATATTGTCAGTACACCAGAGGCCTCGGGTATGTTTTTTAATAACTAGTATTTTAAGGAAAATTCACTTTTATGAATTGCTGCAAAAGATGAATACAGATATAAAAACTTTGGATTCCAACCAAGAATTGTTATTGCAAGATTGTTTGGCAGAAATTACTACTACGTATATTAAAGCACCAATTTTGATGGGTTGTCCTAAAAGGTTTTTACAAGCTCACGCACAATTTGAGCTTACTCCAGCATTAACTCATTTTGATGTTTATCCAACCATTTATAGATTATTTGATGATTTATCACTCATTAACTGTTTAATAAAAGTATTAGAACAACCAAATTGCAAGGGTACTTTAGAGCAAGATATACTTAAACTTTTGAAAAGTTTAATGGACTGTGATCACGGTCTCAGATATTTATGTTGCAGGCATAAAGAGTTAAATGAATTGATCAATATTCTGGATAAAGTTAATACTGAGTTCAAATTAAAACTCATTTACCAAGTAAAAGTTTTAACTCTCATTGATTATTTAAGCTATTTTTGGGAATGCAATTTAATGCACAATTTCAAATTATATCAAATGGATTCTGTTGATTTTCTTCATGATATGTTTTCACTAACTCAGTCCACAGTTGGAAAATGTGCTGTTGTGAATGTTTTAACTATGGGAGACAACTTAGATGTAATTTTAA